TATTCAGAGCTTTGGCTGAGTGGGTAGGTGATACTTTGGACAACTTCTGCTATGTTGGTCTAACCACTCAGCTCTCTTCCCCTCCCCTACAAACTCCTTCCCTATCCACTCATCCTGATATGATGGCTGAAAATGTGAATGGACAGCACAGGAACCATATGACATTAAAGTTTGTCTCCTGCCAAGGGCAGACTACCAGGACTCTCCCCAGTTCCAAGCATGACTATTGATATAAGCCAGCACCTGGATGTAACCTATTTCCAGTTTTGTTGTCACATGATCTCTTAAAAAAAAAAATCATCATCAACCCTTTTACTTCCCATTCAAAGTGGAAAACTGCTTCAAAAGGAACCATTTGCTGGTCTATCAAACAAACACTTAAGATTAAGAAAAAAAAAAAAAAACACCTATTCTTTTTCTATGTGGGTGTCCATAGTATCACATAAGTGGGATGGGATTTTTTTTTTCTTTCTGTAGTGGGATCAATTTACATAATTTATATAATATATCTTTTCTAATATTTGTGATCTGGAGTGCTTATTTGATAGTATTACAAAAATATGATTCTCTTTGAGAAGTATATTTCTGTAGAAACACCTTAAGCTTTAATAAAAACATAGGTGTTAAGGTTGGTTGCATTTTAACTCTTAGATAGGAAAATAAACCTTTTTATATATGCATATACTTATAGTGAAAAGAAATGTTAATTCTTTTTCAATGATTAAGTTGAAAGTAATCCTCTAAATTTTTGCTGCTGTTCAGTGTGACCAAAAGTGGCATTAAATTAACAAGTAATCTTAATGATAAAGACTGCAAACTGACAGTTTTTAAATTATTAAAATCTATTGACAAAACAGGAAAATACTGGCAGTTGTTTTAAAATGATTTTTATGCAATTGGTTGGTTAGTTTTTGATCATTTTTTTTCTTTCTTTACTTATATATGATCCCTTTTCTTGTAGATTAGTGTTTGTTTCTACTAATATTTTTTATAATTTTGCATTATTCAAATTTTAAGTGTGTGTAATAAATATATATATATATATATATATATATATATACAACAAATTGGAAAATTTTGATAGTTTTGCCAGGGGAAAGTGTGTTCTCTTTGGCTTCTTCAGTTTGAAAAATAATTTCTTTTGTTTTTAGTTTGAAAAAAAATAATTTTTTATTTTCAAACTGAGGCCAAAGAGAACATGCTTTTTCTGGCGAAATGCATCTTTGATTAAAAAAAAAAAAAAATTAAAATTTTTCCACTTTGTCTCCTTGCACTCTTCACTTTTGTTTTGGAAACCATTTTAAGTACACACACACACACACACACACACACACACACACACAAACTCTTAAGTTAGACAACACTATTTTTTACAAAAATTTGCATCAAAGTCCTTAAATATTTTTAATACACTTTAACTAAACTTTTTTTTTTTTTTTTTCCCCACCAGCCTTTTCTTCCCACACCAACTCATTGATAATGACTTTTTCTTTTTGCTAGGTGATAAAAGTATTAGCTGTCGAACACTGTTGTTCCCAGCACAACATACTTTGTTAACTACGCCAGGTGAGACAATGAGTGAAAGCATGCCTTCCCTACCCTCTTCTCACCTTCTCTTGTCCAAGTTACCAATAATGATGCTTATCTTTTCATTTAATACTTGTTACTTATCTTGAGTGGAATGCAGAGCCTTCACTAAATTCTTTAATGTGTGGAATTTAAACAAATCAGAATTTCAAAAATCAATAGAATTGTAATTGCAATGATCTTTAATTCAAAATCTTTGATTTCTGTCAATCATAAGTCTATTTGGTGAATGACTAACTTCTCACCTATTTAAAGCTAGACTCTTTCTTGCATTTTTCTTTTCAAAAATGAGGGCTTTTGTTTAGGTATTTGTAAAATATCAGCAAAGCCTTTTGTTTGCATATTGTAAATTCAAAATCTTTCTCAAGCAGTGACTTGCAAAATTTAAATTCATTTTTATAGAAGTTTCTTGCTGAGAATGTAGAATGTTACTTGAACTATGTTTGTTTGAACTTCATATAGTCAATTAAAAAAAAAAATTGATTGCTGTGATGAGTGTCTGCCATTACTTAGACAATATGACAAGGCACTAATTTAGCTTTTTATAAATCAATCACTTGGTTTTCTTTTAGTTTTTTATCAATACACGTCATGTCGGTGCTTGCTCTGTAAGATTAGCAGCTTTATACCAATCTTTGTGAACCTTTGTATGGTTTTTAGCATGCTATCTTAATATGAAATTTGCTTAACTTGAACTGGATATAAGAAATAATTTGAAATATTCTAGGATTTTTAACCTGTAATGCTTAGTAACCTTGTACTACTTACACTCAAATGCTATAATTAAGCACGTTTTTAAGCATCTGTTGAAATTAATTTTTCTAAGGTCTTTTTAAATTCTGTTTCTCATGGAATAATCAACTTAATCTATATATTAGGAAACTAACTAAAATGTATGTATGTATGTATATAT